GTGTGACCACTGCATATATAAAATTAAATAGGCCTTAAGAAAAAAAAAACCCACTAGATATTTTATTAAGTAATTATTTACTGCCCTTAACGGTTTGACTTGGATTTGGCATATTTTATACTTACTTATTCGATACTTTGGCATATATTGCTTAATAAACCATGGGAATGTAATCTAGAAACTCCTAGCTATGGCACAGACTCCATAAGTAGCCATAAGCCTGTGTGCGTAGGAAGGAAAAACCACACTGTGAAAACTGTTCCCTGTGAAATCAATGGAACTTTTGCTATATACTTTAAGGTGAGTCAGACAATGTCTTTAATCACATTTCAGTTTCCCCTCACATTGGGCAACTACGTAACCCATCCATCTGTGATACTGTGAAGATTAGCTGGTCTATAAGTGTTCTGAAGAAGTAAATCTCTACATTGGGTATTAGTTTAATGAACAAAATATCATCCCAATAACTCAGTCCACCCAAATAAGGCATTTCAGAGAGCACAAAACTTCTTCGCATTGCTTAAATATCTGTTATCTTTCTGCTGTTTTAAATTCAAATATAAAATCACCAGTAGCTTAAATTTTGACGCTGAGCTTCATTAAAATCCATTATAGATTATTAAAACAGAAATTGCTCCACTACTAGTGATAACATTAGTGTGAGACTGGAGTGTATTTAATTATTGGACCAATACAGTATATTATCTCCAGTTTCAACAAGCAAACATTAAAGCATGTAGACACCAATTCACAGATCACCTTTGTACCTACAGAGCTATGGGGCTTTGTGCCTGCATATAAACATGAATTTGGAAGCAAAAACATGAAGTTGCTAAGAAACACCTGCATTTTATTCACCTTGTTCCCTGGTCTGCCCTTCACCTCCAATCCTGGAGGGTCTTCTCCTTTCCCAGCCAAAGAAAGAACTTATCACCAGCAATACCAAGACGTATCTGTTGACTAGAACTAGTAACTGCATCTCCCTCAATGGCAGTGTAATAGAAAGCAAAGGCTCTTGGGGCACACTGTAACCTTCCAACAAAGGACAGCAGTAAATTTGAAACAACAGTTGGCCCCAGGCACAAATCAGCGCTCCTTAGAGATGCACCAAACCTATCATTTCTGAGGAAATAAGACCTAGGGCTTAATTTTTTTACAATTAAGATGCTATCTGTGTGTTGCAGGGGGAAACCAGAGTCTCCAAGGAAACTACTCCAACAAAAGACCAGAATAAGGACTGAATCCTGCAGTTCTTGCAAAGAATGAGCTGATTTCAATAGGAGTCCCAAGCACAAGAAAACTGACAATCAAGTGAAGACTCACATTTTCATGCTACCTTGTGAATCCATAGCCATAACTGTACATATATGCTTTTTGAAAAAAAGCAAGGGTTGCAGTATTTCTTCTGCTGACACTTTATAACACCCAGTTATACCAGCTCACTTAATAAAAATGACCCGGGGGGTGGAGGCACTCCTACCACACAGATATACTCCGAATGAGCAAACTCTATATCCCAAAACTAAATTTTACTTCTAATTAACTAGCTATTTCTAATGACTGACATTAACTTTTGAAATAATGCCAGCCTATAAATAAGTTTCCATTTACAGGCTCACAATTTGTATCTGCTTAAATATTTTATGTTGTGCAGCCCTAGATGGGGTAGACAAGAGTCTCCTTGCACCTTTGAGGGCTGGTGAAGTAAGGACACTTGATATTTTTAGGGAAATTAAATCTACAGAATCATCTTTATCAAAATAAAATGTTAAGAAAACCACACTATTCACAATCAGTTCCCTTAGAATTTAAGGGAGATTTTACTTCTCCATTACACATAGGACCTTTACTGGATTCAACACATTGCATCTCCTCACCCAGATCTCCACTTTATTTCTTTCCAAAACTGTGGAAGCAGTTCTAAATATTTATGGTACTGAGTTGCTCTAGTTGTTCCATAGCCTTGTTCTTAAAGACTAATCACTTAATAGGTCAAAGCCATATACTGGGTTCTCAGATTTCTCATCTTAAGTCTCGATACTCTTTCATACCAAGTAGGAGCAGTTCATACTTGGCACTGTTAATTCAAGATCAGTTCAGAATGCAGTAAGTGTCAAGAACCCTGCTATAAATTAGATACATCTCTTTCTCTCAACTTTAGGCTGCAAGGGACGTACATAAAGTTGACTAGAACATACATATACATACATACACACACACACTCATTCATCTTTACAAGGATGTGTACAGATGCTCTTTTCTTTCATTATTTGTCACTGCTATATATAAAATCTTGAAGACAGAAAAATCCTCAAATATGACAAACTTTAGCTTATATGCAAAGCCAGAAGTTTAACAACCATAAAACTATTTTAGCCAAGTTACCAGGACAAATGACACCATTGTTGAGTGCCCCTGCACAGTGGCTAAAGACTGAATGAGTATGAACTACCCTCTCACCCTCGCTGATGATCCCCTCCAAGTCAGGTCAAGACACACTGGCAGAAAACTGTGGGAAGTCTGCACTTGCTGTTACTCCTATTTCACTTGCTCTGCAAGCAGAAGAGATCAGACAGGCATTTTTCACTTTTCCCAATGAAGTGGGGAAAATTAGTTGGCAAACCTGAATTTAATTTGACAGCTAATTATTTGTTGGAACTATGAGCTTTGTTTTTGTTTTTAACTGTAGCAAAGGGGAAAAGAGACAAAGTATATTTTCAATGTTAATAATGTATCTTAACCTGCAGCACCATATCTTTTGGCTCCCTTATTACTAAAAAAAGAATTAAGGTGAGATGTATTGAGCTTTGCTAATCTTTTTTTTAAATCCAGTGTAGGGATATACAAGTGCATTAGCTGATCTGCCCCTACTTCAAATCCTCTGCTCAACACCGGTATTTAGATTTGTTTGAGGCCATGACAGTAGCAACAGTCTTCTGTCCCTGCTTAAAACAATTAAAGTGGAAATACATACTGGTAATCCAATAAATCCACAACCAAATTTCACTAATTTGTAAAATGATTCCCTATATTTTTCCAATTACATTTAAGAATTTGCATGATCTCTCTCTTTCTAAAGAGTCATTTTGACAGAAGGGAAGATGGCATTTTAATGAGGTATTTAAAACTCAAGTCTTTCACTGATTATCAGTCACTTTGAACTTAATCTATTTTCCCAGAAGTGAAATGTTAAAAAAAAATCCTTCAACACACACTCATAATATCAAACTTAAAATGAACACAAGGTAGGCTTGATACAATCCTTCCTATTACTACTTTCACATATCACTTTTGATCCTGAGAGACCCCAAAGAATTTTCTAAATTTAACTGAAGTGCAAACCATACACAACATTTACCCATTCACTAATGAAATGCAAGCACCATCGGGCTCAAATGCAAAAATTGTTCAACAAGGAACAACAACAATCAGAAGCATACAAAGTGAATATCCATCCTCTGACAGAGGCTTTTGCTATGTATGGGTTTTTCCAGTGGGCTACTTAAGGGCTTACTTATGACATTTTTTTCTTGTTTCTCAAAATTTCCTCCTTATCAAATTTCCTATGCATCGTACAGATGCTATGGCTGAAGATACATGACAAAAAAAAAAAAAAAATTATAACGCCAGTACATGTAGAGGGCAAACCTATCATACTTCTACCATAGTCTTTAAACTACCATTCTCCATTAAAAGGACTGTCTAAGCAAAAATAATAATGGTCCAAAGTAACCAATTCATTCTTTTTAAGCCAGGAACCCAAGTCAACAACTAAAATGCTGGAGGGGTTTCCCCACACTCAGAAATGTTCTTACAAATGAATACTGTATTCTCTGCCCCCCATTAATTAAACATACAGGTCTCTAACTTGACATATCTGAGGGACTCTGTTGAGCTCAAAAGAACTTGTGATGTGCGCACACATTTGGAGGGTTGAGTTTCTCCCTGTTCTCCAGTAAACTCTGCACAATAGGGATGTAAATGCAGGAAGTTAAAATGTCAAATAAAGCGTATTGCAAAGTCTGCCATTATTACAGGAGAGTTAAGGAGAAAAAAAAAAAAGCAGCTACAAAATTAGTCCACTAATAAAGCCTACTTCCAAACAAATCAAGGCAGTTCTGTTTTAAAACACTCGGATGCGTATCTTGCTGGGATCATTTGACCCCAGCCAACTGCCTGCCATTTGGGCAGGAGGCCAGACCCGACGATCTTGCGAGGTCCCTTCCAGCCCTAACATCTATGAAATATATGAAAAGATACAATAAGAGGGACTGAAAGAAGCCTTGCATTTGCAAATCAAGAAACACATCAGTGGGACCTAAAGAAGTTGAGGAAAGCCCGGTGGTTGAATACAAACAGCAAAAAAAACCAAACCAAACCCCTCTTTCTAGTACCGCTGAGCGCCAGCCGGGATCGTATGGGCTCACTTTCCCAGGAACAGGGCAACTCAGGGTTTACGTCAAGCGAGCAGCTCGCCATCGGGCCAATGACAGGGTTGACAGCAAGCTGCTAACCTGACACAAAGCCCCTAGTTCTCTCAGTCCACTGCTACAGCAACCCAAATACAGGCAAGGCTACTATCACTTGCCTTCCTGGGGAGTTTAAAAAAAAAAAAAGTCTTACATTTCACAGACTTCATAGACCCATAGATTTCACAGATGTCATAGACTCATAGACATTAGGGCTGAAAGGGACCACGTAAGATCATCAGGTCCAGACCCCTCGCCCCAGGGTCAGGTAATTAGCTGGGGTCCAAGGATCCCAGCAAGATACGGTCCTCCAGGCCCCTTCCCAGGAAACAACACCCCTCCGCAGCACAGGAAATACCGGCTCCCCTGGAAACAGCCACCATCCCCGTGCTCCCACCACCTCCACAGCCGGGCAAGACCCCGCCAGCGCCCGGGCCGGGCCCCCCGCCCCCCGCCCAGAGCGGAAGGGCCCTCTGCAGGCAGGCAGCAGCCCCCGCCACACCCGGGGGACGAGGCCCCACGGCTACTCACAGTCGTCTAAGTCATCCTGCAAATCCACGAAATAGAGCGGGATCCCTGCGGGCACAAACAAGACACGGCGTTGGCCGGGGCCTGTGAGGGGGGAACGGGACCTAGACCTAGGCCGAGACCGAGGCCGAGGCCGAGCCACTTACCGGCCATCTTGGATGGACATGGGGGGAGGGGAAGGGGGAGGAGCTGCTGGACCCCGGGCTCAGCCGGCGCCGCCCCCAGCCGCCCGCCGCATCGGCCCGGGGGGGGAAGGGAAACCGAAAAAAAAACCCGATCCCGCCCTCGGCGCGCGGCGGAAGCGGTCCGTCACGTGACCCTGCGGCTCCCAAGATGGCGGCCGGGCCGCGGCGCCTGAGGAGGAGCCTCTACCTGTAGCCGGGGGCCGGCGCGCGAGGGGGCTATGGTGCGCTTGGGCGGTGCCTGCGGGGCTCCTTAAAGCGGTGGCGGCGGCGGCCTCCCCGGCCATGGCGCTGAGGGAGCTGAAAGTTTGCCTGCTGGGGGTGAGTGGCGGGCGCGCGGTCCGGGGGGGCGGGATCCGCGCTTGCTCCTCGGCCCCTCTGACACCCTGATCTCTGACCCCTGACCCCCCCTCAGCCCGCCTTCGTGTGAGGTGTCAGGGCCTCCTGGGGCTGCCCAAGCCTTTTTCCCCATAGTGCACCAGCGTGGGGGACACATTACCCCAGGAATAGAGGGGGTGAAAGCCTCCCCAACCACAGGGCAAAGGCCTCAAAACCCCTCCAGGGTTTACTGGAGCCGCTGCAGTGAAAGGAGCTCTGCCCACTCTGAAATCAAGGAAGCGTCGCTGGTTGGACTCTGTTTCTGAGCTGGCGAACAATCGCATTTTCTATTCCCCCCCCCCCCTTCGGGGTTGTACTTGGAACCGAGAGTCTTTGTTTTCGGGTACGTCATCTTTTTTTCGGTGTTCATGCTGTGATCGACCGGATGCAGGCAGCAGGGGTCTCAGTGATTCCCATTCGCAATCTTTGGCAGCCACCTCGCCCTGATCCCCCTCCTCAGCCCACCTTCCTGTGAGGTGTCAGGCCCCCCTGTGAAATCATTGTGGTGTAGGGAGGAAGAGGAGGGTGAAGAAAACTTGTCTTTTAACACCCCCCCAATGAGATGTATTTGTTTTCCTCCTCTTGAACAATTTGTTATGCAAGCCTTTAGAAAGGTTATAAACGCCATAAAACATAAGTCAGATGGTTAGTGGGGGGGAGGGGGGGTTGAGTATCATCCGTAAGAAAAAAAATAGATTTTTTTTTTTTTTAAATTCATTTGTGTTGAAGTGTTTGAAATACATTTTTCTTAATATATGTTGACTTTATATTCCCTAAAGCCTTATATGTAAGGAAGGCCTAGATTACCCATCCAAAGAGTGTAAAGTGGATAGTTTGCTCACTGTAAGTGGACAGTTTGAAGACTGTAAAGTGGATAGTTTCATAGATGCTAAGGTCAGAAGGGACCTCAACAGATCATCAAGTCCAACCCCCAATTGGGGATCAAATGCTTAATCTGGCCTGTTGGGGTAACATAACTTTGTGCGACATCAATTTCTAATACATCTTGAAAGTAGTCACAAGACTTGTTATCATGTTGGTATAGTTTGTTGCTGAAAACTAGTATGGATGTATGCACCAGTTACAGTACGTTAAATCATTATATGGAACACTTTGTAGGGATATAATCAACTAGGCATCTTTTATTACTAGATGTATTGTTCAGTCTGGAAGCTTTATCTTTCTTAAGACTTAATTGTGGTAATGTTTCAAAAGCACACGTGCAATATAGTGTTAAATTGTCACGGTGGAACTGTTCTAAACCTCCGATCATCACCTTTACAATTAAATTACTTCCTCCTCCTGCATCACTTGCAGCTGTATAAAATTGTTTTTCGAAGTTACTTCAAGTATGTCATGCATGATGTTTAAGGCCTTTCATTAAGCTGGGTGCGACTGAATGAGTCAGGCTGAAATATGTAATGCTTGCAATAGTTTGACACTATTGATCTGCTTATATGTAGGGTGTTATATCTCTTATTCATCTAAGTGTACGCTTCAACGCAATGGTATGAGGCAGAAGCTCTTTCTCTGCTTCCTGTACAAAAACCTCTCACTTGAACTAGGTATTAAGATATTTCTAGCATTACAATGTAACTTTTGTCGTAAGAGACTTTCCAACGTAGTATTGTTTTTTTTTTTTAAATCCATTGCACAGCTATTTGTTTGAGGATACTGTGTTTTAACAGAGCAGTCTTGTTTTCACTAATGAAACTGCACTGTTTTTATTTATTTGTTTGTTTGTTTTAAGGACACTGGTGTGGGCAAATCAAGTATTGTATGGCGATTTGTAGAAGACAGCTTCGACCCCAACATCAACCCAACAATAGGGTAAGAAACTTAAGTTATTTCAGCAACTTAAAAAGCTGGAGAAACAGATCCTTTAACCCCAGTGGCACACACAAAGCACTCCCTGCATGTGTTAGCTAGCTTGGGTAAAATGTTAAATCTGTCTAGACCATGTGTCTTATTGAAGGTTTGAGATTAAAATTGAACACAAAAAATAGGAGCCATGAACTCTCTGTTGGATCTACCACTGATTTAGGTGGTCTTGGCCAAGTCATTTATGTCTTGATTATCAGCAATAAGTTATCACGTTTGCATATAAGTCCCCAGGCCCATGAATAGCCGTCCATTTCCATTAGTGTGTTAGTTGTGGCCAGGCATGCAAAATATCACATAGAAATAAGACATGGAAAATACATTTGAAGAACTGATTTCTATTTGTAAGTCAGATGTTAAGAATTACTATCCTGGCCTTTGCAGTTTCCATTGTTATGCAGTAGAGTAGGCTTAAAATCTTGTCCCGTTTTATGAGTACGAATAAACACATGTATTCTATTGTTGATGCAGATATCAGTAACCATTTCTTCGTGGTGAGATTTAGCATGTGCATACTTCATTAAGGCACCATTCTTAAACTTCAGAAGTAACATGATAATAATTATCAGGCTATTTCAGCTTTACTACAGTAATGGTAAAAAAAAAAAACCAACCCCAACCCCTCCCAAAGATCTCTTTCAGGTTACCAAGGCTGGTTGAATGTTAGCAGTGATTAACATTTTTGTCAACTGCATTAATATTCTTTGTCCCAGCATCATTAACTAAATTGATATTCAATGAATATTCTCTTTACTAACTAGTGAAATTGGATAACTGCAACAACATTGTCTAACAAAGATCAAAAGTATGTTTTTTTTTTTCTTCTTGAAATGCCTAATTTTCCTTTTCTTGGTTTAAAATTACAGTACACAAGTTTAGATTAAATGAATAACATTCTGTAGAAATTGTGAGGGTTTTTTTTAATGTCCTTATTAGCAAGAACTAGATTTCAGAGCAGACAGATCATTTTTTGTCAGATGAGTAATTATGACTCTTAGGACCTGTTTGTCAGGCCCACGTACAAAAGAGATTTCCCACCTGTAGGGTCATAGACTGGTGTTAAGGATCATTATCTCTCCGCCCTTCTGATTTTGCTTGAGAGAGAGTCGGGGAAGGGAGTCTCTCAAATTTGTTTGGTGTGTTCATTGGCCTGTACCCAGCCTATCTAAAAATCTCCTGGGGCACTGCGATGGTTGCTTTAATTGACAACTTTCTTCCTTTGGCAAAATACATTGTATTTTTTTAACCATAAGATAAAGCTCATCTCTGCCAATAAAAGAACTGATCAAAGACCATCATGAACCTTACCAACAACTTCAGGGGCAATGTTTTTTCCACTTTGCCTTCTCTAATATGAACATATAGTTTCATAGTTTCTAGGGTCGGAAGGGACCTGAGAAGATCATCTAGTCTGACCCCCTGCCATGGCAGGAAAGAGTACTGGGGTTAAACAACCCCAGCAAGATGTTCATCTAACCTCTTCTTAAAAACCCGCAGGGTAGGAGCCTGCACCACCTCTCTTGGAAGTTGGTTCCAGACCCTAGCCGCCCTGACCGTGAAATAGCACCTTCTGATGTCTAACCTAAACCTACCCTCTGCTAGCTTGTGACCATTGTTCCTGGTCACTCCTGGCTGTGCTTGGGGGAACAGTGACTCCCCCAATGCCTTCTGATCCCCCCTGACCAGTTTGTATATAGCAGCATGTACTTTTAAAACGCGCACTCAGTTCTTTCCAATGGGGGAGGAGAGGATGAGAGGGTGCAAACCACTCATGATGGAAGTTGGTCATATCATTTAATGTATCACTGCAGAGTGCTCCATGCTATAGCAGTGAAGGTAATCTGAGGGCGTACAGAGAACAGAATTGTATTTTGGATTTGGTGGTAGGATTGGGATCAAATGCTTAGCCTGGACTCTTGAAGTAACATAACTCTGTGAGACATCAATTTCTAACACATCTCCTTTAAAGTAGTCACAATACTTGATATCATGTTGGTATAGTTTGTTGCTGAAAACTGCTATGGATGTATGCACCAGAACTTCTCCAAACAGATGTAGGAAGTTCCTGTACACTGCGTACTCCAAAAAATTTAAATAAGTTCCTTTTGAAACTACTGTTATTTATAGACTCTGTCTTCACTTCCTGGCTAAATTCAGGTACGCAGAATTATTGAGTGATCATAGTAAGTGGCAAAATATATACTAAATTCAAAAATAGTTGCAGAGGAATATATTTTACAGTAATATTTACAACCCAGTGGTTTTGTCAGTATTCTCTAAAATGTTTGAGAGACATTCTTATAATCTTTCTCCATATAGTGTCTTAGTAATCAAGTCTAACTGGCAAAAACATTCATGAAAAACTAATCTCAAAGTAGCTTACACAAATAGGTACAGAAGCCAGACATGCATTCTAAGCTTTCGCATCATCAGGATAAGCACAAATTGTTCTACTAGGCTGGATCCTGAGATCTATCTAGATCATGAAGTATCTGCTTTTTTGAGCATCTTTATGAAACTGACAATATGTAGTTCTAATTCCGGAGTATCTTTGGATACCTGGTAGCTATCTGGAACTCCAGAAATACTCATAGTTCGAAGTCCTGCTGATTTTTTTTTAAATCAGCATTTCACCTAATGAGAAACTCCCTTGTTCACATTTAAATTGTGTTTACTTTCCTGTTGAATTAATAGGAAGGTTTACATGGAACTAGCCTTTCAAATTCAGAATATTTAGCTGATGCACAGGTCCTTAGTAGAAGTTGGCTGTGGGAAGCTTATTACATCAGTGCTTCACATACCACACTGTCTTACAACCTTCAGTGTCTCAACTGATCTTTACAAGCTTATGTGCTTTGACTTCTAGCTTCTCAAAAGGCTGCTGCTCTGCACATAAATCATGTTGGTCACCAAGGGCATCTGAGATGCATTTATGAACTCTGCCTAGAACTGGGAATAGAGCGTTTTCAATGAAGGACATATACAACTCCATAATTCACTTCTGTGTTAACCAACAAATTCAGACCTTAAACTTCAGGGTCGATGTAATGTGAATTCATTTATCCATTTAATTTTTATGAGTAAGTCTTTGTAATCTTAATAAACTTTCCTCCAGCAATATGTAAGCGTATGTCTAAACTCTGTCAACAGTACATTTAAAAAAGTTGTTCCCCATATCACTGATGTAACTAGAATTATAGATAAGGCTTGCTTTTCTTTTTTTTTAAAGCCATCTTTCCTAGTTATTTCTTTGTCAAAACAAAACCATATTACAGTAAAGCTAACTATGACAATGAATGAAAGCCAGAAATGGGTTTTTCATAAAGACAAAATTCCCATTTTTAATAATAAACCAGTTTACATTTAAATTAAATAAGTTATTTTTCACTTTTGAACTTACTTTATATAATAACGAGCATAAAAATGGACTTCTGGAGGTTTTTTTTCTTGTACATTAGCACAGTTGCAGATCTGGAATGGTTGGGTTATGACCACTTAAAACCTAACTATTTTTCTTTGGAATCTCTCAAAACGAATCTTGGTAGCATTAAAATTAATTTAGGTTCAGTAAAATCAGTTTCTTATAAAACACTGAGCTCAAACTGGTATTACAGTATGGCTGAATATTTTAAATCCAGAATTAGTAAATAGCTGTTGCATGAGAAATCATATTTTAGACTAAGCTTTAACATACTAATGCAGACCTCTAAATAAAAATGGTTCTGCCACTTGCCTTTTCTGAAAAAAACTGAGTAAATCATGGTCAGTTGACTGACTGAAATAACAAAGTTTCAAGATAATATTGAGATGTGAGGCTTTTCTTAGAAATAAGCTTAAAAAGATAAAATCTGACTTATTCATAAGCCTGGTTAGTAGCGACGCTGATAATATTCCCTGATACTTTGCATTGTACAACCCTGTTTAAAGTTGCTTGTATGTTTCCAGAGTTTAACCACTTGGACTAAAAATTGTAATGGCAGGTGTCTGCTTCAGGCTAAAAGTTGTTAGTAAAATTTGAGCCAGAATGATTCAGTATAGGGCAGTAGGGGGAAATATAGTATTTTGCTTAGGTTTTAAAAAAATTACAATAACATAATAGTTGTGATGTTCCATACTTTGGAAACCGAGCGTGAAGTTTGTTAGAGGGACATCCATTGGGTTGAGGATGTCACTTTTGTTGCCATGAAAGTCTGCCCAAATTTGGCAAAATTATGCCGTTTGAAAACTTGCACTTATCCCATGACCAATAACATTTCCAGAGATTTGGTCTTGAACACGCTTGAGCCAGTTGGCTCACAAAGCTGATACAGTTATTGCAGATAGTCCAGTGCAGAACAACTGAGGCAAAGCTGGACATCCCCTGAAATGGCAACATTTTATGCCGGAGTAGGCAACCTTTTCTGGCTGCGGGCCCTCTAACCCCTGGGAAAGAGATGAGGGGGCAGTCGCATGTTCAGGATTCTTCCACTACCACCAGTAGTCCCTGCAGTGGCACAGAGAGTGCCCACAGCATTGAAACATGACACCCTCAGGCTGGATCCAAAGGTTGTAGTAGCCGTAGGTTGCCAACCCTCACTTTATGCGATCACGTGCTATTTTGTTTTGAACACATGCCTTGTTCAGTACTCAGGATGGACAATGCTTACTTAATCAAAAGCTAATCAATACTTTGTCTTAGCCTCATGGTTCAGTGTGTAAATACCTGTATTTACTGCATGTTGTTCAACTTCTGCTCTAAGGATGATATTATTTATCTCCCAATAGACATTTCTTTAGCGCTTATCATCTCTCATGCACAAACTTGCCATCATAATATACAAGATTTGGGCTGGTGGACCACTGACTTCAGTGGGTCTCTACCCTTGTGTATGTCTTGAATTCTGCACAGTGCTCATAGCAGGAATCAGACCTTTATTCTTCATGCTAAACGTTTAAAAAAAAAAAAAAAT